ATTTTGAATCTTTGCAGTAATTGTTTAATTAACTTGGATGTGTTTTGGAATATATTAGTGGCTTTTGCTAATAATTTAGCGACTAATATAAGTTGGTTTATTTTAAATGTTCTCACCTTCGCCTCCCTCTTCCACTGTTCTTGCAGTGAAGCAGATGAGGTATATAAAATTTGCAGTGTGATTGGAAGCCCAACCAAGGACTCATGGGCTGACGGGCTTCGCCTTGCAAGTGATATCAACTACCAATTTCCTCAGGTCAGTTGTTTCTGATTTGGCATCACTCATTTCCTCATATTTGTTTGTTCTGTTTTTTCTCGTGCATTTTTAGTGCGTTCTCTGAGGTGCATAGAATTGTACAGAAATCTCTTGGGGAATGGTTTACATTCTCACTTTTAGCAGACTGTTGTCATTGCTGCATTGTATTTTATGAGAGATTTATTAGGCAGTTTAAAGCTGCATGCAAATATGGGATGTAATTTTATCTGCGTTTTTATTTTTTATTTTTAGTAGAAATGTAAGATTATGTTGTTCCCCTGCTTGAAAAAACAACCATATATATTAAGTTGGTTTTGTATCTTTTAACATTGCAGTTTGCTGGTGTTGATCTTTCTACACGGATTCCATCAGCTAGTGAGGGTGCAATCAGCCTTATAACAGTAAGTCCTATATAGTATTTACTGTAGCTGTTTCTTATTCCATCCTCCCTACCCCTCAACTTAGCCCACATGGTGACTTTGTTTAAAGAATGTCTACTACTGTGTGATTTATGTTTTTCCTTCCCTTTTGATGTAGTCACTTTGTTCTTGGGACCCTTCCAGGAGGCCAACTGCTGCAGAGGCCCTCCACCATCCTTTCTTCCAGGTGGTGTATTGGAACAAAGTTTAGTAACTGCAACGTCCTATGATGAATAGGGGTCTGCAAATATTGTGTATTCTAACATGTACTTCCTTTCATGTGGCAGAGTTGCTATTCTGTTCCTCCATCCCTTCGTTCCAGATTAACTGTTGCTAGGACGCATCCAATAGGTTTGTCCATCTGATAATTTATGGAAATGTATCAGCTTTGAGATTGTTATTTAGGTATTCAACAATGTTTTAAAAGGCTTGCCTCAGGGCGCGCCCAGGCGCCCTGTGAGGCTGGGCTTGAGGGTTGCCACCTCTGTTTTGAGGGAGTGGGCGGAAGGTGCTGCCAAAGCCGCCTAGGCGAGCCTCAGGGGATTTTTTTTTTTTTATTTTACTCCCAAACCCAAATTTTGGGTAGGGTTTTAACTGCCTCATACCTCTTCCTTGTACTATCATCTCTCTGCCTTTTTTTCTGATTTTTATTTTTTTATATAATGGATGTGTGTGCTGTCTGCGTTGTTATATGTGTGCTCATTGTGCTTTTCATCGTCTATTTTATATATATAATATAATATATGTATATATATATATGTGTGTGTGTGTGTGTACGCTCTATGTATATATTAAAAAATATAGGTCCCGCCTAGGCTGGGCTATCCCTCGGATGCCTCGCCCACACCTCACGCTTTTAATACATGGTATTCAAGTAATGTAGGATATAAATTTATTTGTATTATTGCACAGCTGGAGCAAGGGGAGTGGAGCAGCAAAGTGCTAGAAGACTTTCTGGGACTGTATCTCATTCAAAGCTTGCTAGCAACTTCCCTTCCCCCAAGTTACATGCCTCTGTGGGCACAGGTTGGTTGGATATTGTTCTGCGGAGTTTATTTAGACTTTAAATGCTGCTCTCTCTCTTCCTTTTGTTTATTTTTTATTTTTTGTTTTTCTGTATTTATTAATATCTGCAGTTATTGTAAATTACTCCAATGAGTCTTTTCACCAGGTGGTGTTGTCGTAGGTTTTTCTTGTTGAGAGCTAACCCTTGTGGTCAGAAATTATTTCTCCTCAACAATATCCTTATAAAATTTAGCTTTTTGTCTATTGAAAGTTTCTAGTTCTATAGTTCTTAGTGGAGGAAGTATTGCCATCCTTTTGTCGAAAGAACTGGTAATTCTCTAAATGAGTTCTCATTATGTAAGAACTGACTTTGCAGGGGTGCAGCGGAAACTGGATATGGCCGACCAGGTGAGAGCACATGTTACTTGTGTCTGTTTAATTTGATTGTGTGCTTATGCCAAACGTGGACATACCTCATTTGCTTGTTCCTTTTAAATAATTTCCTCATCTTTATGATCTAAGGATGCGAAAAAGAATGATAAATATTTGAAAAGCTTTCCCAAGCAGCAGCAGAAATATCGACCACCGGGAAAGAGCAGTCCTAGTAAGTTCCATGACTAGAAGGAATTTGATTGTGTTGGTTTCTTGAATTGTTTTCGATTTAATATCCAAACTGATCACATTTATGAACCACAAGAATGCGTGATGTTGTCTGTTTTTCTTTGGATTTTAGTTAGTTTTATTTCTCAATCCCCTGGTCCTGGATTTTCTTTTTTGCTTTTGTTTAGTCAGAGTGCTTGTTATTTGACTTTCTATTTAACTGAGAATACAATGTTGGCTGGCACAGCTTCTGTGAACAAGGTAAGGGTTGCACGTGGAGTTTCAGATACATCTGAGAAGCTGGCAAATATGACAATTGGTCATCACAGGCAGACTGTCGGGCAGCAGATGCGGCCCCCTCCCATGAAGGCTGGAGTCGAGTGGATTGGTGAGTCTGGAAACTTGTATCTCAGGCCTGTTCAAGAGATTCAACCTGGTAGAACCTATTCAAGGAAAGTTGCGGGATGATTGAAGGCGATGAGCTTCTTTAACAGGTCTTATGTATAGACCGTTTTATGTGTGGTATCACAACCTGCAGCTGTGCGGATTTTTATGTCTCGTCTTGTTTAATACCGAACGACTATGTAGTTGCCCAGGTGTTTGGTTTGGTTTGTTTACTGGTGAAGAAGTGTGGTATGTATGACAAATGGCATGTACTGCCCAGTTTTCTATCATGAATGTACGCCGGGCTGGATGAGAGTTCGGCATTTCCTGTTGCTTTCTAAACAATGACCTGGATTTTCGGAGTGAATAAATGGTGGTCTTTCAGAGTGAATAAATGGAAGTTAATGCGCTGTTTGTATAAGGTTGTTTGTTTATTACTTTTTGGCCAAATTGGATAAATGATCTATGTGGTCATAAGTTATTCGGAAAAAGGTCCCTGTGCTAAAAAAAAACTCGGATTTAAACCCATGTGATGTATTCCGTTAACAAATTTAGCTCAAAAGTGATTTTTTCATTAGCTATCTGTTAATACATGGGTACAATTGTACTTTGACATGTGCACATTCTTCTTCCAGCATCTACTTTACGCAACCTCCAAACTCACTTCGTGCAAGAGAAAAAAGGAGAGACCATTTTCAAGAAAAAGAAGATCCGGTGAGACCTCACCTTTTATCTACAACCAAAAACCCAGAAATAGTTTACAATTAACAACACATCTGTCGCCTAATTACAACATAACAAATCAATAAAAAAAAATATTACAAAGGGCAAATAATAGAAAATGAAGGAAAATTAACAAGCAATCAAAGAGTAAAGTAGAGAGAGAAATGGGCTTGAAGGTAGAAAGCATTACTTTCTCTTCTTCCTCCTTGCCTTCTTCTTGCCTCCAATAGCACAACGCTTGTGCATCGAGTCACGTGAGATACCTGCATATTATCACATATACAAAACCAGTGACACACATACAGAGAGTGAGAGGAAGAGAGAGAGAGAGGGGGTCTGAGTGGTACCCATGGTTTCGGAGTGAGAGAGAGCTTAGTCAAGACCTCCTCCTCCTCCGCACTTCGCGCAAGAAAAAGGAGAGACACCGTGGCCGTCATGGTTGCGGTGGTAGCTATGTGGAAAACTAAAAATGGTCTCTCCTTTTTCTCTTGCACGAAGTGAGTTTGGGGGTTGCGTAGGGAAGATGCAGGAAGAAGAAGGTGCACGCGTCAAAGTACAATTTTACCCATGTAGTAATAGATAATTAACGGAAAAATCACTTTTGGATTGCAAACGGAGTACACCACAAGGGTTTAAATCTGAGTTTTTTTAGCACATGGGCTATCTTCTGAATACCTTATGACCACATGGATCATTTATTCGATTTGGCCATACTTTTTTGCCGCTTCCCTTGTGGTTTGTGGTAAGAGTGGTTTTTCCCTTGAGCTCGTGGATTGCCTATGCCTGATCGTGTCATGAGACTTTTATAATGGTCAAGTTTGCAAGTGTATAGTATCACATCCAAAACTGGAGAAGATGTACTGCCACGGTGACATCTTGTCTCAATGAAATAAAGGCATGTATAAGGAGTTTTGTCCACATGTCGTTATTTCATTAGCCTGAGACTTGGATTCGGAAAGAACAAAAGTTGGCCATAATGAAAGCCAAGGACAAATAGACCAACGCACGGTTGAGTGAGACTGTTGAAATTGTATCATGCAATTCCATTTGTGTAGTGTGCCGATCCAGTGCATTCCACACTCAGTGCATTGCAAAATATTTGGATTGGATTCTTCACTCGCTTAGTTTTGCTTAATATAATGGAACCTTCGGAACTTCTTCCAACGTTGAGCATTGAAGCATAGTTTGTCCATTGTCAATCATTTGAGATATCGTGAAAAACCTATGTTAATTATTTGTCCAATAAACCCATCCACTTGCTTTTTCATTTAACAGATTTTTTTAGCAAAAGGATCACAATGGACAAACTCAAAGAACACTTCACCGATTTTCAATGTCAGGAATCAAAGTGAAGAATTATGACAATCTCATAGATTATTTTAGCTAAAAAAACCTAGATATAGATGATAGGGTAAATTATATTTTGCACGCACCCGTTTGATTGCAATTGCAATTTCATACATCTTTAAATATTTACTTAATTTTCATTTCATTGTCATACATATGTTAAGTTTTCTTTCAATTTCACCGTTAAATGATGACATGGAAAATGTGGACCCCACAATTTTTGCCACGTGGCAAATGGAAAAAATTATTAAAAAGAGAAAAAAGGGGTTGCTTTCTTCCTCTTCCTGGCGGCTGTCATCAAGACTGCAATCTTCACATCGACGTTTGGCTATCAACGGGTAAAATCACGGAGGCGAGCTTGGAAAACTGTATCGAAGAGCTTCTTGGCGACAGACATGGATCCTCGCAGCAACTAATTCAACTTGGATGAGATGATTTGAGATGAACAAGCCGGAGCAAAATGACAGATTTTTTAACAGGTGGTGGGGTTGGATGAGATGATCTGAAATTTTCCACCACAATAGCTTAAATTCGTCGTTCTCGTGGCTGAGGAAGCAGCCGAGCGACTAATTTCATCGCCGTATTGGGTCAAGAGGGTCAGGCGATTGACGGATTTAATCTCTCCTTCCTATGTAGCATTCGTCAGATTCACTCTATCTCTGGTTTCTCTTGAAGGTACTCTCTCTCTCTCTAACTATACCAACCTCTCTGTCCCTCTCTAAAACCGAAACCGCTTTCACGTGATTAGAGATCTTCTAGTGTTTTTAATTGAAATTTGAATGCATGTGTGTGAAAACATTCTCCTGCATTCGATCCGGGTAGTTTTGTACAACTTGATCCTGGTATTGTAATTCTGCTGAATTAAAATTGGGGAAATTTTATTTAAACCTATACAACTTTTTTTTACACCCAACTTTAAATTTTGAATGTTAATTATCTATTTTATCCTATTACATAATTACTATTAAACTCAAATTTATCCATAAACCCAAATAATATAATTAAACCCTACATTAACTTAGCTTAGACTTACAGTTTGAGGCCAATGGGGTTTTCAAGCAAAAATAGTATCTCTTCCATATGCTCTCGATTCTTCCACATGTTTTCGTCGACTTTATGGGGAGGTTCACTATCCAATTCACTCACTAACAATCTCTCCTCGCCTAAAAATTAAACCCATTCGATTCATTCACTATGCAAGATATTGAATTTTTGAGATTGCAAGCAAAAAATTGGAAAAAGTTGATCACTTCAGCAAAAATATGTAAAATCTTCATAAGGGTTTTGAAATTACGATGACCTTGAGCCGCCGGAGAGTGGTGGAGCAAGTCGGCGGTGAAGGATCGAATCTCGGCTGAGAGGAGCGATGTCGTTTGAGAGAGGGGGGAATTGGTATGTGTCGTAGTAGGAAGCGAGAAAAGCCCTGGTTATTGGTACTATACCCTCCGTGGAAGCCATTTTTACTTGTGAGCAACACCAGTCCAACGCCATCTCCCTTTACCTATCTTTCTCTCTCCATCTTTCTCTCTCTAACTTTTCTATGTTCGTCGGCAACAGGAAAAGGGGAAGAGGAAGAAGGAAGTTACAGTGGAATAACGGATTCAATCTTACATCTGTTGAAGAATCAATGAGCTTATTTGGCGGTAACTATTCAGCAGTCAAGTGGCACAGCGGGCAGCTTTGAGTTAAAAATTTAATGGGTGTAAAAATAAATCAACATATTAAATTGGGTTTATGAGGGTATATTAGGTATTAAATTTAAGTTTAAAAAGATAATAATAGTTTAGTTAAAAATCAAATGGGTGAAAAGAGTAAATTGAGTGTATAAATAGGTTAGATGAGTTTAAATAAAATTTTCCTTAAAATTGTATGAGATCTGAGTTTTAGAAAATAATTTAATTTTGTATTATATACTTCTATTTCTTTTCTGGACAGGGGTGCCTCTTTTGCTCTCCCACACTAATTATGGGTATGTTCACTATCCTTCTAATGCTTGTCACGTGTAATTCACACTAACCCTAGTTATGCTTATTTTTTTTTTAATTTTTTCTGCTCTAACTAATAGGAAAGGGAATCTTACTTTTACTCAATTAATTTCTTATTTATCCTTTCTTCTACTTATATTTTATAAAAATGAAAACTAACAAAAAGTCCTCAAAAAATTTAGTTTTAATAAAAAAGATAAAATAATGTTGTAAGTGAATAGTATCAGGAGTGACTTTTTAGGAAAAAAAATGTCTTTAATGTTAAAAGTGAACAATATCATGAGTGTTTCATTAAGACTCTTTATTAAAACTCTTCTTTTTTAATACAAACAGACAATTCGCACGAAATTTGTGGGTTTTTCATTCTTCTTATTGAAACCTACTCCATCAAATTGGAAGAACCTGCTATTTTTCTCCAACTATCAAAAGTGATCTCAGGGAATTATCTCCAACTTTGCTTGGAAAATCTCATTTTTCATCATTTTGATCAAAGACTTCAAAGATTTCGAAATTTGAATCTAAGTGTATATAATCAACTGGTTCTTTGCATCACTGGAGGATGGGAGTATGAAACTCATCATCTTGGTGTTCTATCAGTATAAGCATCAAATTACTTAATATTGTATTAAATTGACACCTTATAATAATCCAAAAAAGCATATATATGGAAACTCTAATAATCCTAAAAAGCAAATAAAAGGGAGTTGCATACCCTTTCTAGTTGGAGAAAATAAGTCGGTTCATCCAATCTATTGGCGTAGGTTTCGACAAGAACAATGAAAAACTCAGAAGATGCGTACATACAAGTTTTACTAAAATATAAGAAGAAAGAATAAATATGGAAGTAATTGGGTAAAACTAGGATTCTCTCTCCTATTAATTAGAGCAGAAAAATTGAAAAAAAAAATTAAGCTTAACTAGGGTTAGTGTAGATTACACGTGACAAGCATTAGAAGAGGTGGTGAACATACCCTATAGTTAGTGTGGGTGAGCAAAAATACACCCTAAACAATTAGATAAATAAAAGGGTGTTGAATTGTTTGTTCAGAAGTAAAGCTTGATTGTTTGCAATTTTGTACGAACCAAATCGATTTAGAATTAAATTCAATTGATTGTTGAATTGGATTTTTTTTTTTGGAAAATACTTGATGTGTTGCATTATATTTAGAATAGGAATGTGATTGTGTAAACCCTAGTAGATCTAGAAATATCTCTTATATTCCTATTTGGAATAGATTACCTATTAAGAGTTGTAATCCAAAAAGGGTAAGGTTTTTGCCTATTCTACTACTATAAATAAAGGCACAATAGGGGTGATACAAGCACACCTCACAATTAAATCACTCTCTCTTCCCTCATGCTACTACCGGCCCCCTTTCTCTCTAATCTCTTAGATTAGTTCAATCAAATGGGCCTACAACATGTTATTAACACGCTCTTGCCAGAAGCTGAGGAATTGACTGATCGTAGGAGGAGGTTATCTTCCACAAAATTCAAGGGCTCTTCTTTGTGTTCTGCCAATTAGGTACGCTTAAAATAAAAGAAGATATTTGAAACATCCACGAATTATGAAAACATTCTCCATGATACATGAACCCCTTTATGTTTATATTTTCCTTACGATATATAATTGTATATGTTCATATATTTGTTTTATGCATTACGCAATTAAAAATTGCTATGTGGAATTGTGAGTCAAAGCATATAAATAAATTAGAAGCAATTCTAGGGTTTTTCAAACCCTAACCATGTCAAAAAAAAAAAATTGGCGTTGGGCACCGTGCAGCACCACCACGGCAGCAGCCTTTTAGGCCTTGCTACAACCATACGGACACCCCCAGGCATTTGGCTTGGTTAACCTGTATGGGCCTAAAGTCCCAACCTGCTCCCTAAGAAAGCCGCAACCTTCCTAGGGTTGTCCTTGTGAACTACGCCCGCATTGCCAGCAACATTAGGCTGCTGGCCCTTACCTTACGCCCGGGCCAACTTCTCGTAGCCTTGTCTGCTGGGTTGTGCCCGACCCGAATCCCAGCTCCGGCTGGGCTTCTCAGACCAAACCCTAGGCCAGCGTTTCGCTGGGCTTGACCGGTGCCCCCCATTCGGCCCTCATAAGCCAGTAGCTTGCTACTGGGCTTCAAATCTGACACACCCCGTCCCGGAGGAGGGCATGCTGGCCGTCACGTGAGAGTGACGTAACCATTTACACAGTTCGGAAGCTTAAAGATACAATTACTAAGATGAAACACCCGAGAGTGAGTCATACTTTTGTGAATTCTGTCAGAACACCGTTGGATTCCTCGTGGCCACCAAAGCTCTGCAATCTAGAACCTGGAGGGGCGCAAAACAAAATTGAGTGGGTCAGTAAAACAAAGTCTTTCGAAAACCTTTTATTTAAAACATTTCTAACCCCTCACCGTAAAAACCTGTATACTTTCCCAGAAAATAGTATATATACATATATATATACGCAACATCAAACTCAACTCAATTTCATCAACATAATATCTCAATAATAACATGCCATGCCCAAAATATAATCAGAATGCATCAATATCAATCAGGTGAAATAATATATCAACCGGAGACCCTACAATGGTCCTGTACAGCTGGTTCTAAAGCTCAACATCCCACTCAGCCGGAGTCACTACAGTGACCTATACGGCCCTACCGGAGTCACCAACTATGACCTGTACGGCACTACACTGCACATCACTCGGAACTACGTATAGTAGTCTGTACGATGATAGGTGTAATAATACGCTCTAGTGCTTCTCTCATCAATCATCAGCGCGCATAACTAAGGTCACCCACTAGTCGGAATCACATCTAGTGATCTGTACGACTAGCATGTCGAAACTCTCACATGGTCTGTACGACATCCACCTACTTGGATCCAAGGCGAGCGTGCGGTGTGGTGAATAACAATATAAGCACTAACACCTAGGTGCAGCTTAAGAGCTTTCGATGCAATTAATATAAAATAACTCAGCTGAATAATAATAAAACTCACACGTGTGTCCACCGCGTCAATTCATATATATAAGCATTAATTATTAATCTAGGTATCTCAACAATTGCATGCATGGCAAATTAATTCATAACTTTCATATAAACGCATTTTCTGGGAAAAATAGTTGTATATAGGTAATACGAAAACAAAACTGCCCACTCACCTGGAGTTCGCCCTACAACTCCCTAGCACAATACGCCAAGGCGTCATGACGATCGGCGCCTAAAACAATAATCAAATCCAACCTCAGAATTCATATCGATAGAATATATAACTTATGTAAAATACGTCACTACGTAGTTCGATCCGGAAGATCTGCAACTCAGATTTCAAATCCGTAACTTCCAGAGGTCCACAATATACCTCTAGGACAACCTCCTAAAATTTCATCACCATCCAACGGTCGGATCTCCGTCAATTTCCAAAACTAAGTGACGGTTAACATTTTATTTTATGAACTTACAATTCTAATTCCAGAAGATCCGTAACTCGGATTCCCAATCCGTAAGTTCCTATAATCCTCAAATATTACGTATTACAACGTATCAAACTTTGGTGACGATCCAACGGTCGGATCGTCAATTCACATTTTCACCTATATGCAAAATAACCATAAAACGTTATTTAAAGCACCTAACCAACAATTCGTAATAACTTTCTCATACGGTGCTCAATTTGGGTATATAAATATACCACAGTGATCTACTCGACGTCACGGACGTCGACATATTTTTAGAAAAAATTTTGAAGCCAGCACGCGCCCCCACGTGCCAGGACAAGCACGGGGACACGCGCCCCCACGCGCATCATCCCCAACCTTGGTTCGCCAGACTGGTTTTTCCGGCGGCCATTTTCCTGCGAGTTTTAAAACTCTTTGTTCTCCTTCGTTTTTCACCCATTTTCTTCGTATTTTATATCAAATTGAAGCCCCAAACATGAAGAATCACGATAGACTAGTTTAAGGCTCTAAAAATCAAGAAATCTCACCGGAAAATTCCCAAGAATTTCGGCCAAAATGGAACCACGTGATCCCGACGTCCAAATCCTTCAAACGAAGCACTCCGAGCCTCCTTAGGACTTCACTAAGCTCACTACAAGCTTAGAATTCCCTGAAACACGACATTTTACGTGTGCATGAACAGTAACTCAAAAATGGAGGTTCGGGTTCCACATGATTTCGAGGGTTTCACTTCCTAAAACTAGCACCAATGAACTCAGAACGTCGAAAGGATGAAGATGCATACCTTGGTTGCCTCGATCCGTCGAGTTTTTGGAGGATTTGGGTGTGTGCCGTACGTTTTGGGTGTGTGTGTGTGAGAGATCGTGAGGGAGAGAGACAGAGAAGACACGGGGAAGGAGAAGGAGAGAGAGGTCCTTTTTGTGGTCCAAACTAATCCACACCATCCATTTTCATCCTAACCATACATAACAAAAATCAAACTTTCAATATTATCCAATTTACTAATATATTTCTTTTACCCTTGCATAATATTTGAACCAATAAAATCTCACACACACGTACCTTAGAACGTCAAGGGCATTTCCGCCATTTCACATTCCCGTCAAAAGTACTTCCGGGACGGGCTGTGACAAAATCCCTCGGCCCGTGGCATGCAGCCACCCGTGGGCTGCCTTTTGTAGCCAACCTGAGCCCAAATCCTTTTGGGCTATGCTTTTTCGACCCCATGCTATTATTTAGCATTTTAAATAATTTTAATCTGAATGTTATTATTATTTTCGCTTCCACGATCGACCCTATTTGGTCCCGATCTATTGAATTAATTAAAAGTGATCTCCAGTCCATTAATCTGATAATGAATCCAAAATTATTGACCTGAAGATCACTTTTGGACATTAACGATTCAATAATTTATTTTAATACTTTGAACCGTTGACATCCTTTCGTAGTCTCGAAGCTCTCACACTTGAGTTCTCAAAGAAACTTAAATCCACTACACTTAAATTAGCATATTGCATTCTGTGTTTCTTGCAGGAACTTCTCATTTTTAAACTAATTGTTCATAAAAACTAAATTGAACCTGTAGTTTCATATTTAGTGTCTTTGAAATCTGAAGTTTTCATTCAAAACTTACCACATGAAACCTGTAGTTTTCATGCATAAATTAAACCAATATATGTCTATAGAACTCGATTGTTCTATGATGTATGTGTATGGATCACTATATGACTAATCATGTTTTTTTTGTACCCTACATTTTAGGGACATGTCGAACTTGAACAGGCTCGATTTCATCGCTCTGGAAGTTTTCAGAAGAAACTACCTAAAGTGGGTTCAAGACGTGAAGCTCCATTTAACTGCAAAAGGTATTATAGCCACCATCGAGGCACTTACCGACGACAAACCTGTTGACGAAGTTCAGAAAACTACTGTAATGATTTTCATTCGAAGACACATCCATGATGCATTGCAAACTGAGTACCTCGTGGAGGAGGACCCACGCATCATCTGGCTTGCTCTGGCCAACCGTTTCGATCACCAGATAGCCTGAAGCAAGACACGACTGACAACATCTTTGCTTCCACAACTTTAGGTCTGTGAATGAATACAACTCTGAAGTTTGTAGAATCCGATCACTGCTGAAGTTTTGTAAAGTGGAATTAATTGAATCGGATCTCCTGGAGAAGACCTATTCGACATTCCATGCCACCAATATTGTCCTGCAACAACAATATATGGCACATAAGTTCACCAAATTTTTGGATTTGATCTATGTACTACTTCTCTCTGAAAAGTAGAACCAGCTTTTGATGAAGAATCATCAAGCTCGACCGATTAGCTTGAACGCCGAGCCTGAAGTGTATGCGACCAATTCTAACAGCCACAAACGACGTAAGAATCATCATGACCGTGGAAATGGGTGGCAAGCCCAACCACGGGCCCAAGGTCAACAAAGAGCCGGCCCCAAGGAAGGAAATCTGATCTAGCACACTTGTCCCAAATGCCTCATACTTCAAAAATAAGGGAAAAGCTCTTGTTCAGTCAGCTTCCACTAAAATGGACATGTGTTACCGTTGTGGATCAAAGGATCATTGGTCATGCGTATGCCAAGCCACCCTTGAGGCTATTGCCAAGTATCATTCCCATTGTGAGTCTAACTTTTGCACATGTGGAACATCAGGAAGATGCTACTACATCAATGGAGATATCGAATTTTTAGAAGGCGTCAGCTCTAATGGATGAATAAATTAGACATGTTTTTAGGGTGTTTACCCCTAGTGGCCGACCCCACTAGGAGTGGCCGGCCCCTCTCTCTTATTTTTCTAGGTTTATGGTTTAATTTTGAACAATTTTTCTAAGTCTTTGGAATAATTTGTTTGGTTTTGGTTTGTTTTGAGTTATGGATTGTTATTTGATGGATATTATTTCTTGAATTGCTTAATTGAATGAATGGAATTATATTTATGCATATAACTAATTCAATCAATTTATTTCTAGGTATGTCTTGTGGGGAAGTTAGTTGTCTGGCTGATAGTGCTACCACGCACACCATCGTGCGTGATCGACACTATTTTACTAACTTAATACCCAGGAAAGCACATCTGACAACTCTCTCAGGCCCATCCAACTTGATTGAAGGATATGGAAAGACCCGTATCATGTTGTCCAATGGTACAGTTTTAACCATTAAAGAGGTACTCTATTCTCCATGTTTCGGAGGAAAGTTGTTGAGTTTTAGAGATATTCGAGATAATCAATATCATATTGTAACCACTGAAGATAATGGTTCTGAATTTCTTTGTATCACTTTGTACGAATATGGCCAGAAGCGTATTCACGAAAAGTTGGAACGTCTCTCGAGTGGGTTGTACATCACAACCATTTGCGGCATAGAAGCCCGTCATGTGGCCGACCCTATTTTTGAGTTCTAGAGCACTTTCCTGCTTTGGCATGACCGTTTGCGACATCCCAGATGTGACATGATGCGCCGTATCCTAAAATCATCACATGGGCATCAGTTACCTCCCTATGTTGGATTCCCGCCATGCAAAGCGTGTTCTTTAGGGAAGTTGAATACTCAACCCTCACATACAAAGATCATTCACGACCCCCTAAGTTTCTTCAGATGATTCAAAGGGATATTTGTGGACCTATCCAACCAACATGCGGACCATTTAGATATTTTATGGTATTGGTTGATGCATCGACACAATGGTCACATGTTTGGCTGTTGTCCACACACAACGCTGCATTTGCTAAACTCCTAGCACAAATTATTAAGCTAAGGGCTCATCACCCTGATTATTTTATCAAGTCGATTCAACTGGATAACCTCGAGAGTTTACGTCACAGACTTTTGACAATTATTGCATGTTAGTAGGGATTGATGTGGAACTTCATGTACCCTATATTCACACCCAAAACGGCTTGGCAGAAGCTTTCATAAAGTGCCTTCAATTGATGGATCGGACTTTGGTTATGAGAACCAAATTGTCGGTATCTGCCTTGGGCTATGCAATATTGCATGCAGCTATGTTGGTCATCCTGAGGTCTGTCGTTACCCAACCACATTCACCATTACTGTTAGTTACTAGATACGAGCTTGACGTATCACATTTACGGGTGTTTGGGTGCGCAGTTTATGTGCCAATAGCGCTGCCACTACGTACCAAAATGGATCCTCAGAGAAAAATGGGAATCTATGTCAATTAAGATTGCCATCAATTGTTCACTATTTAGAACCCTTGACAAGAGATCTCTTTACCGCACGTTTTGCGGATTGTCACTTTGATGAGACAATATTCCTATCGTTAGGGGGAGATAAGCATGCTAACATTCCTGAAGAATGCCGCGAATTGTCGTGGTATGCTCCTATTATGTCTTATTTAGATCCCCACACTACCTAGTCTGAAACTAAGGTGCGCCGAATTATAGATCTTTAGAGCATTGCTCAGAGCATGCCAGATGCTTTTAATTAAGGGTGGGTTCAAAAAACTGAAAACTGAACTGAATCGAAGCCAAAAAAATCGAATCGAAACTGCCAAAATGAACCGAACCGAATCTGGCTGGTTCGGTTTCAGTTTTTTTGGTCCAAAAATCAAACTGGATCGAGCCGAATACAAAAAAAATCATATATAAATACTCAAAAACATGTTGGCGTGAGGGTTTAAGCCCCTTCCCTCAAGCTTGAGGATAGTTGCATCAAGCCAACTTGACTGTAGGCTTTGTGTTGTTATAGTTGTACCAGTAAATTATTTATAGGTTTCTAATATTTAATGCTTTATAAAATTTCTTAAGTTTACAAACCCTAGCTGTCATTCACTCCCATTTCAGTTTTTATGTTTTCTCAAACACTTTTTCCCCCTCTACTGCTTTCTTCCTCTCTATCTACTTCATCTCTTCCTCCAAGTCACTCTCTTTAGTCTTCTGTCCTCCTCACGGATTCCTTCTTCCAAACCATAATTTTCCCTAGCCCTTTTCAAATTAGAAGCAGAGGAGGATGGCAAAGGGAGTTCGATTAGTTCAACTTAGCCCTGCAATGGCCTAACACTAGCACAGAGGGAGTTCGATCTCTTCCTTATTTTAACTATTAATTTTAAAAAAGATTGATATTTTTTTTTGTTTTGGTTGATTTTAATTTGGTAAATTAGGTTGAGTTTTCTATTTTCGGTTTCTAAATTAGTTTTTTCTACTATTGGATTTTTTTTGTTTCAGCTCAAATGCTCCAACCGTGTTTACTACTGGTTGATTTTAATTTGATAAGTATTAAGCTTTTGTATAATATTGTGTAATGCAGAGATGAAAACTGAAAAGCATGAGTTAAGTTGACTTCTTAGTTAAAGTTCAAATATGTTGATTAAGGCATGTTGCAGGTTGATTTCTCACTAAGGAATGAGGATGCTCAAGGCAAGGAAGCATGTGCTTCAAGCTCCAGATATTAAAAAAAAAAATTCATGAAAAAAACTAAACCGAAAAAACCAAAACTGAAAAAAAATCGAAAAAATTTTAAACCGAATCGAACCAAACAAAAATTTTGATTCAGTTGTGGCAAAAAACCAAACTATTTTGAATCGAACCCATCCCTACTTTTAATGATCTAGCAAAGTTGACAAGATCATATGTACTTGCAGAAAACGCACCTGCAAGGATAGATGTACCCCGCGTCAACAACCTGCTTGGGAAAGTCGTACCTTCCACGCAGCTCGGTACATTATGGCAAACCCCTTGGTTTAAAGGATTCACAACCTTGGAAGAGGAAAATGGCACCAACTAGTGACCCTAGTTTGAATTCGACTATCGCTCACTAATCTGTCCCAACACATGAGGTTATTCTAGATTACGACGATGTCTTAAACGAGACAACCCGGCCTTCTAAGCATCGTGAGATTTCGGTCCACTACGCAGTATTGGAATCAAAATGAGATGATTGTCGACGATGCA